AGGGGACACGTCGCGTGATTTTGTGGCACTTGGAAACCTCATTGCGCATAGATGCATTTTGTTAGCGTGGTTGCTTTGTGCCCTTGGGCACACTTTCATTCTTGAGCAACCGTCCTCTGCGCATTTTGGCGATCTGCCTCGCTGGAAGCACTTCGTCCAGCAGATTGCCGTAGTGGCTGGGCTGGTCTGTATAGATGTGCTGTGTTTCATTGTGTCTGCCAAAGCTGCTGCCTTCTGTTTGCGTTGCAGGTTCTTGGCTTGATCTCAGGTATTCCGCCAACCCCTATGGATGAGGCTATTTGGAAATTCCAGCTGCAAAAGAACTGTGATTTGGAGCAATAGTTGCTTGATAAAGGAGCTGAACTTGGGGGCCTTGACGCGTGAGTTGCGAGAATCAGCGCGGCCTGTGGCCCATCAGTACGTTGACCGCCGAGGGGTTAAGCGGTGCACAGGGAAAAAACAGGCGCTCAAAGATTCACAGAACCTTGGCAGTTCAAGTTACTTCCCTGTTAAACAGCGGGTGTCGGGGTTGTTACTGAATGAAGTTTATTTTCTGACTAAGCTGCGGCGGTTGTCAGTGTTGATGTCCTTCTGGGCGCAAGTCTCCTGACATGAGGACTTACACATGCGCTTTTGGGTACAAGCTAGCCTCCCTTCTGCCTCGGTTTCATGAAGGTGTGCAACCGCTTCGCGTGCAGCAACAGGAGCTCTTTGAAATGCTTCCAAAAGAGTCCAGCGACCAGGAAGCAAATTCAAGACGTGTCCTGCGAAGGTGTTGTTTTCAAGTAAAAACCCCTTCCCAGGACACTTCGTGAAAAGCCGAAAGCGGAATACACTTGAACCCAACCATTTTGAGAACACACACTGAAATTGACCCTTGCTTGCCGGCTTGCTTGATGCTTAAGCATGGGTATGTTGATGGAGAGGTCACGCAATCCATGCTCTGCCCTGACAGGACCGGAGCTGTACGCTGGAAGGCATGTTGTCTTTCATGTCGAGTGACGCAGATCTATGGCTTGACGCTGACATGCCAAGTGTTGTTCAATACCTGAGGGGCTCAAAGAGCTTAGCAGTGCCCGACCCAATTCGCCAATGCTTGGGCATGAACAAGTGACGTGGCGCCTCTGCGGCCTGTCAACCCAAGAATGCCCTTGTCAACAAATTTTGGAATTCTCATGTGCCAACAGGCGTGGATCCGTGCAGCCACAGTCTTACAAGTGTGCCTGAGCCCGAAGTCACCTGCGTCCCACTTCGGCCTGGAATCCTAGCGCGTTCAAACTCTTGCTGCTCATTTACAAACTTTTCTGGGGCAAGCGTGCGGCAAGTGTGCTGGGGTGAAAATATCTCCGCGCGATATTGCGTCGAGAAACCAATTCTTCACGCCGAAAAACCAATTCTTCGCGCGATCTTACGCGATCTAAGAATCTAGTTTTTTCGTATTCCCAAACTGTTGGAAAACCAAGTTTAGCTGATTTCACAAATCTTGGTATTTGGCAACGTTGGACCACCGCCGAAATTTTAGTTTTTTTGGCGTAGCCGGATTTGGTTTTTCATCCACATGTGCACCCATTGAAAACAACGCACTGACGACCATATTGTCTCTGCGCAGGTGGCCGTGATGCGAACCACGCGAAGTACACGCGAGGCACGCTCTCTCAAGTTGTTCTGCGAAGCGTCTCCTACACTTCATCTTGAAGGCTGCGCTGGCCGTTGATAGCTTTTGATGTGAACTGCCTGCACGCCGTTGGCCCAACAAGGATGAAGTTAGCCTCGTACAGTAGGCTTTGGTCGTGCAGCACGCTCTTGAAGGGGCAAGACTTCATGTCGGGCCAGAAACAGCCGAAGCAGCCGAACCCGCCCCCGAGAGCGACTGGGTTCAACAACAAGTGCTCTAGTTTTTTTGAAGTTGTTTTGCAATCCCGGTGTTTCCCGGACCGTCCTGCAAGGTGAAAGAGGAACTGGAAGACAGCGAGCCTGCAGGTGTGGCAAGCTGGGGACGGGAAACTGCATGCGTGTGCTACCTGAACTGCCAGCCCATCTATAGTATAAGAATGACTTTATAGGGGCATCCGTTTGTGATAGATGGGTTGGCCGTTCATTCGCAAATGCTTTTGCTAAAGGCCTACCCCGAAATGAAGCCATGATTCTATTCAAAGGTGGCCCTAAGTTTGCATAGCACCTGGAACCATGGCTTCAGTTTGGGATAGCTCTTTAGCATTAGGCCTTTTGAAGCGGGCAAAGTTCCTAAAAATGGGAACCTTGTTTTTTTTGGTGTCGCAATTTCTTCAAATCTACAAAGCTATCCTGCTGACTGTCTGGGGCAAAGCTCCAATTTGAGAGGGCTGCCTTTTGTGGGAAGTTCTTGAGATTGAGTGAGCTCCCCCCTCCCGGAAATATATCACTACGTCTCATATTTTGTTTGAAAGCCAATGCAAGAACCGAAGTTTGGATGAAGGTCGGCGGGAAACTTGCTTGGTTGCAAATGCGCTCCAACTTGCACGACGCAAGCTGCATGTTGTGATAAGTTCCTTTCAGAGGCTACATGCGAGTAACAGCGCGTTCTCCCCAAAACAAGGCACATCAGCACTTGAGCCACTTCGCAAAATGTTTTCAAGGTGAGCTGCTCGAGCACCAACTTGACATCTAACTCAACCCTCGCTCAAGTCTTTGCCTTTGAGCACCCCCAGCAACTGCCTCAAGCGCAGGACCAGTCCCGACGCAGGCGCGCACTTTCACCGTGAAGCGCCGCCCGCAACCGGCGTTCCTTCACCGCAAGGAGACACGCGCAACAGTGTCACCAACAAGTGCAGAGTCACCGCCGACAACGACCCCAACGCTCTCGCCAGCAGCAGCGTCGCCAACAAGTGTGGCGCTGTCAGCAGTGGGCCCCACAGTGTCGCCAACAGCAGCCCCTACTGTGTCGCCAACAGTGGTGCCAGCGCCGCCAGCGGAGATGGCCCCCGCTGCAACACTGTCACCAACAAGCCCGGCGGCTCCGCAACCAGTGAAGGAAGAAGAGAAAAAGCCAGCCCGCAGGAGGGCCACCCCGTCGAAGAGCCCAAGCGTTGCCTTTCTGGAACAGGAGCTGGCGGCGGCGCGTGAGCGCTTGGAGGAGACAGAGGCGAAGTGCGAGCAAGAGGCAGCGGCGGCGGAGGAAAGACGCCTACGGCTGGAGACGGAGAAGGAGCGCGAGCAGGAGGAGAACCGGCGTCGCAGGCAGCAGGAGCAGGAGGCTGAGAGGCGAGCAGCGGAGACGAGACTGCGAAAGCAGCTGGAGAAGAAGCGCGTGCAGCAAGCAGCAGCGAAGGAGCGACTGGAAGAGGAAGAGGCGGCGCTTGCAGGAGTAGAGCAGAAGGCGACAGTGCGCAGCGCCCCGGAGACAGAGATGATGCGGCCAGCGGCGACAGAAGAAGTGGAGAAGCTACGGCAAGAGCTTCGGCAGGCGCATGTGCGAGAAGAGCAGCTAGCGGCGCAGCTGAGTGAGGCGCATGGGCAACAGAAGAGTGTGGGCAAGTACGCGCTGGTGCTTCAGGAAGAGAAGCTTGCCTTGGAGAGAAAGGAGCAGGAGGTGCAGAAGCAAGAGAAGAGTGTGGACGAGTTCGCGCTGTCACTTCACGCGGAGAAGCTCGACATGGAGAAGGAGGAGCGCGACGCGGTGGAGTACGAGAAGGAACTGGACATGGTGGCTGCTGAGAGGGGCGCTGAGCTGGCGAGCGAATATGAGGCTGAGTTGCAAGAGAAGCACCGCAAGCAGCTGGCGCGCATGGCGGAGGAACGCGAGCAGCTGGAGAAGGAGATGGCGGCGCTACGCTTGAGCCGGGGTGTGAAACGGCCTGCTCCCAGCCAGAGCCCCTTTCAGTGTGAGCCCAAGCGCAGCTCCTTCTTGCAGACGGAGCCCAAGCGCTACCTGCAGCCAAAGCCAGTTGGCCTGCAGACTGCTTCCTCCTTCCGGTCTGAACCGGTCGCCCCTGGGCCTGTGCCCCCGCTGCAAGAAGCCAGCCCGACAACGCCAGGTCTGTCTGCTTCGACGCCCCCCCCAACCCCTCACGCGCCTGGCAGTCACACTGCCACGGTGCCAGCGCAGCAGCCAGCCGCCGAAGTGGCTTTGCAGCCGCAACCGCAGCCAAAGCTGCCTGCGAGAGAGCGCCATGGCTTCAAACTAATTTTTGGGTTGTTGGGGCAAGGGTTTCACTCATAGTTTGGGATGGGTTGAAAGGCTGGTGTGTGTGTGTGTGTGTGTGTGTGTGTGTGTGTGTGTGTGCATGTGCATGTGCATACACAGCATGCGCACGCCGCGCGCCATGATATTCACGTGTGTGTTAGCGTGTGCGCGTGTGCCGGCGTGTGCAGTCGTTTGGTTTCGCATGTTCGCCCCGAAAACTTGGTGCATTTTTGCGTAATAGTTGGTCGAGAGCGACGAATGAAGGAGAGAGTGAAACCAACGAGGAACACAGCGGTGTGGTGAGAAAACGTAGACAGAGAGAGAGAGAGAGAGTGAGAGAGTGAAAATACGCTTGCGACGGGGCGCTCGTGCGTGGTTCAAATTGCTGGCGCAAGGACGTTCAACTCAATCACATGTCCAGAAGCGTGGGCTTTCATGTACCGTCTATGCAAAGACGGCGAGAAGAAGGGTGTGCATGGAGAAATCCTACAGCAATGGCGCGAAGGAGGGGGTTCAAGGGAGAGACTGTTGAAACAGTTTGTGACGAAAGCCTACGATGCCTCTGAGTCCTTCACGGCCAACAAGGTGGGGTGTGCCTTTGCAACATTCGAAATAGGAGTGGGTGCTCAAAATGTCCTTTCTTCCAAATTGTGCATAAATGGCTGCGACCGGGTGTTGGTTGTGTTCGCTATAGCCTTGCAACAACAATTTGTGGGCAAACGTGCAAACCCTATTTAAACGCGACGCCGCGTCGCCCATGCCTTTCGAACACACCTTGCAGGCCAGACTGGAAGCGCTCGTCAAGTTGAAGCAAGCCTCGCGCGAGTGGCGCAAAGGA